CACCAGCTCAAGGCAGCCAACAGATCATACAGCCTACAACTGTGCCTAGTGTTCCATGGGGTGCTGGTTTGCAAGAGAATGCGAGTTCTGCTTCAGCATTAAGACCTGAGAATAACACTGGCTGGGGTATGATGCCTGGAAATCCAAATGTGGGCTGGGGAGGACCCGTACCAGCAGTCATGAATGTAAATTGGGGAGCAGTTCAGGCAATGCCTCCGGGGGCTGTAAATCCTGGTTGGGCTCCGACTGGGCCACTCCCTGGGAATCTGAATCCTGGATGGGTTGCACAATCTGGGAATGCTGGTGTTCAGGGCTTGACACCTGGGAATGCCAATCCAGGTTGGGTTGCTCCAACAGGGAGCATGGGTTCAACTATTCAAGGGCCTACATCTGGTAATGGGTGGGGTATGGGAAGTGGAAATCCTGGAGCACTTGTCCAAAGACCGCTACCTCATGGAGATTCAAATCAAGGTAGGGGTGGAGCTAATGGGAATCGGGGCACAAGAAATAATGATCAGCATCAAGATGGGAGATTCTCTGGTCAGAGGGACAAGGGTAGGAACTGGGATAGGCAATCGTCTTTTGGGAGTAGAGGGCCGTCTAGAGGTGGCTTCAAAAAGAATAATGTGCCCTGCCCATATAATACAAACAATCGATGCATAAAGGGTGATAAATGCAATTATCTTCATGGCTAATCAGGAGGAAACAGAGTAGTAGTAGGAGAGTAAAGTGATTTTGTACAGTGATTTCGTCTCAGTTGTCTTTTAGTATATAGGTCTGTTCTATAATTGTAAACTTGTGCAGATTAGTTGCTCCCCGCCCTCTTCTGATCTGATGCAGTTTTTGCAGTAGCTAGGTTCATCCTGCCTATGTTATCAGCTTCTAATAAAGCAGACAGCGGGCATTATGGCCAAATATTTAGCCTAGTTTCATATTTATGGATTTTGCTGTTCTAGACTTGGAATCATGGCATTTATGAACTGTGTCACAAAGAGTGAGTTCTGGGACAAGGGCTTGTTTTGCTCTGTTGCTTTTTTGTTTAAAAGGTAGTTGGTAATTTACTGTTATACCCTTTTCATGTTCTTATAATCTTGAAAAATTTCCTTGGTCCCCCATAGTTGATACTTCAAAGCCTCGAATTTCTTCTCTTTGTATGTGACTTGCAGTGGTTTTTTATCTCTCAAAGCTCTACTTGTATCTTCTTAGTTCTGACCAAAGCAATAAAACTAAATTTTATTTGCATCTGAAAAATAAGAGAAAAGGGTTGAAAATACACCTTAACTTTAGTTTATTAGTTGTATGTATCTTGCTGTTAAAACTAAATTATTTATGCCCTTGTTATCAATTTCACTATTTATACCCCTCAATTGATGAAATCACTCAAAATTGATCCAATTTCGTAAAAATTACTCATTTCTGATTTTAAACCCATGTCTGACCCATCTAAGAACCTAACCCAAAACCATTTAACCTACATCTTTACAATACTTTTCCTAAAATTTGTCAAGTTCAAGAACCCATTTTTGTCTTTGCATTTAGTTTTGATGTGGGAAATGTGGTGTTTTTTCTTGTAACTAGTCTCTGGGAACGTGCATCGCACGTTTATCCCAAAATTTAAAACAATTCTTCTATGACAAATGATAAAATGTAAATGATATATATATATTACAATAGAAAACAAAAATTACAAGCTCATAAGTTGAGATTAGAAATTCTTGCAAATTCGATAGTACTTTTCTGACATATATATAGTACTCTAATTTAAAGATAAATACATATTGTAATGAAAAAATATTTATCTTGTGAAACTAACGATTATGTATGAACAAGAAAAACTAAATTGATGCATATATTGGATCACATCATGACCAATTCAAATGTGGTTAAAAGTCATAGAACCGTGTATTGATTAAATTATATGAAAATTAAGAAAGTGAGCAGAAAAGAAAAAAGAAGGTGAGGTGGGTGTAAGGGATGGGGTTGATAAGTACATGAAGCTGAAGATGGTGGAGAAAAAGACTCAAGAAACTGTGAATATTTTAACCGAATGAAATAGTAAAAAAACTTATTTATAACGTGATTTTAAGAGTAGTAGAAAAGACAATTTATTATGAGATGTTAGGAGAAATAGAAGAGATTTACATTATTATAAGATGTTTGGAGTAGTTGAAAAGACCTAAATTATAATGAGATGGTCTTTTTTTTTTAATTTTTTAAAACAGAGATTTAATTTCTGAACTTAATGCATTATACCTACGTCCAAAGAGAATGCTAAAAGTCTAAAGCATTATCATATTAAAAGTAAATGAACTATTAGTCAAATGAAACTGGACTATACTTAATTTAATTTACTCAAATTCATCATTTTTGGATTTTAAAGGAATAATTAAATAGATTTTTTAAATAATTTTTTTGATACTTTAATGAGGCGACCCTTGTGCGTTTTTTTATCTTGAGGCGAGGCGATCTGAAAAAAGCTCTCGCTTCAGATGAAGAAGCGAGAAGTGGACCCTAAGGCAAAAGCGCAATAAAGCGCGCTTTTCATAAATAAAAAAAGCGACAATTAGTTTTTTTTAAAAAAAATTAGCTTTTTTATTAAAAAAAATCTGAAATATAACCTTCTCTCTCCTCACGGCTCTTCTTTCACGACTCTTTCCCTTCTTTCTCTCCTCGTGGCTTTTCTTTCACAATACATCTTTCCCTTCTTTCTCTCCTGACGGTCTCGAATGAGGCTGCCTCTCTCTTCAACCTTGACCACAACTGCAGGTAACTTTTTGTTCATCTCTTTTTTAGCTAATGTTTATTAGTTCATCTCTATTTTCTCCTGAAATATATAATCTTCGCCTGTGCTTCATCTCTTCATCTCTCTGAGTTTTGACTACTCTAGTTTTTTCTTCTTCTTCTCTTCTTTTCTTCATCTCTGTTGCCTGCTCTGTTTCTAATTACTGACTGCTGCCTCCTCTGGGTTTTTTTTCAATTCTTTTGCTTTTTTTTTATTATTTTGTGATCAGTCTAGCAGCCTTGTAGAAGAACAGGAGTTTGTATCTTTGTGATTTAATTATGTTTTTTATTTTTTGCTTTATATGTTATGACTTATGAGTATTTTTCCCTATGTAATTTTTTCAATCTAAGACTATATTTCTTCTGTTTAGTTATTTAATAATTTTTTATTTTTTATACTAAATGTCGCTTTTTTTTAAAAAAAACGTGCGCTTCGCTTCATGCTTCTCGCTTCTGTGAAGCAAGCCCTCGTCGTTTTTTTTCGCTTCTCGCTTCCCAAAACACTGATTTGAAAAGGCGAATTCAGAGGAATAATAGAGGTTGTAACACTCGCACTTGAAATAATAAATCGATTGTTGCTATAATCTTCCGTTCTTGATTATTTTTTTCTCGACAAGAATTTTATTATCTACAGATTCTTTGAAAGAATTTTTTTAATGACAATAGTTTTATCACTGAAAATGATATTTTACTATGTTGAAAACAAGTAAAATGAAATCAATAAATAAAGAGATATTTTATTATATTGATAACAAGTAACAAGAATTCTGTTAAAACCCAATAAATTTAATCACATAATATAATAACACTACTAAATTATTCGCGCTTTGCGTGAGAATTTAATATCACGAAATTTATAAAATAATACTTATAATCTATCCTTCATTAAAACTAAAACATTATATTATCTTACATACAAGATTACATAGTAACAAACATTAATAATGTGAAGGAAAATGAAAATTATTAGTACATCTTTATCATTCGTCCTTAGTAACGTAAGTATAAATTAATGACTAAAAACTATGTATCAAGATCTGCAACATAAACTGATAAATAATGGTGTCAGTGGACCACTCAACATGAACAAAATACACAAATATTTAATAGTGAAGAAGAAAAAGAGAAGGTTCATAATTTACGTTTTTTTTAAATGAGAAGAAATCGCTCTATTTATAGACAACAAATGGTAGTATGAACAAATATTTATTGAGCTTTAATCAGAAATTTACAGTTATTAAAAAAGTTGCAATCCTTAGGAAATGTCACAACCTTTCAAAAAGTCACAACTTTTCATAAAAGATAGAAATTTTCATAAAATCGCAACTCTTCATTAAAGTCGTAACTTTTTATAAGAGTCACAAATTTTCATAGTTAATACCTCAGATGGTCACTCAACTATACACTCTTCTCTCAGAAAGTCACTCAACTTTCAATTTTCACTCAAAAGTCACTCAACTATGCACTTCTTTCTCAGAAAGTCACTCAACTTTGAATTTTAATTCAAAAGTCACTCAATCTATTAAATTGTATTTTTAATTAAAATTTATTGATATTAATTATTTATATAACAAACCAAAATTTTTAAAAAATAAAAATACCATTTAAACCATTTAGTGATCCAGCCACCTAACCCGCCCCATTAAAAAATATAATATGACCCATTTTATTTTGTCTTTAATCCTAATTCAAGGTTTAAAGAGAGGGATTAATTTAGGATTAAAGACAAAATAAAATGGGTCATATTATATTTTTTAATGGGTCGGGTTAGGTGGATGGATCACTAAATGGTTTAATTTATTTTTTAAATTTTTTGATTTGTTATATAAATAATTAATATCAACAATTTTTAATTAAAAAATAATTTAATAGATTGAGTGACTTTTTGAGGAAAGTGGATAGTTGAGTGACTTTTTGAGGAAAGTGGATAGTTGAGTGACTTTTGAGTTAAAATTCAAAGTTGAGTGACTTTTTGAGAAAGAAAGCAATAGTTGAGTGACTTTTGAGTGAAAATTAAAAGTTGAATGACTTTCTGAGGAAAGAGTGCATAATTGCGTGACAATGTGAGGTATTAACTCCAAATTTTCATGAAAACAAAAGACTAACTTTGAAAATAAATAAATTAAAAGAGAATTTTGATTTGTGATGGCGACGCCACGTAGTGGATCTAAGGTTCTATATATATATAAAAAAAAAAAGAAGTAAGGATTAAAATAAATATTATACAATGGCTAACTCTCATTCAATGAAAATATTAGGTTCCCATTTTCTTATAAGAATTACATCCCCTTCTCATTATTCAAATTCATGGCAAAAAGTGCCATTGGATTAAAGCTATCATTGTTTTTGTTACCAACAGCTGCATATGGCTAAAGTTATTTTCTTTCCAAGAGAATGATGCATATCATTTCTCAATCCTTCAACTCTTCATCACTTCACCATTGTACACTAAAACTTTTCTCCAAAACCATTTCTTCTTCCTCTAAATTACCCCATTACAAAACCAAATCCCCATTCAAATGGAGGACAAATCATGTTTTTGTACAAACCAATCCACTACTTTCTCTTTTAGAGACCAAATGCAAATACATGAACCAACTCAAACAAATCCACTCACAAATGATTCTCACTGGCATATTCTCAAATGGGTTTGCTTCAAGTCGTTTAATAGCCTTTTGTGCACTCTCAGAAAAGGGTAATCTTGATTATTGTAAAAAAATATTGTATAATATGGAAAACCCAAATACATTTTCTTGGAATATGGCTATAAGGGGTTGTTGTGAAAGTGAAACCCCAATTGATGCATTCTTTTTGTATAAACAAATGCTTATGACAGTAGAGAATGAATTTAGTTGTTTGAAGCCTGATAATCATACTTTCCCTTTGTTATTTAAGATATGTTCTAGATTGGGTTTGTATTATATGGGTCAAGAGATTCTTGTACATGTTTTGAGGATTGGTTATGATGGAGATGTGTTTGTGCATAATGCACTGATTCATTTTTTGGTTTCTTGTGGTTTCTTGGAGGATGCATATAAGGTGTTTGATGATAGTTCTGTGAGGGACCTAGTTTCTTGGAATTCAATGATTAATGGTTATGTTAGGAGTGGGAGATCGAGGGAAGCGTTGATGGTATTTGAGAAGATGAAAATGGAGTCTGTGGAGCCTGATGAAGTTACTATCATTGGGATGGTAGGGGCATGTGCTCAGCTTGAGGATTTGGAGCTTGGGAGGAAGTTACATAGATACTTTAGGGACAAGTGTTTATATTTTAGCGTACCACTTTGCAATGCATTCATGGACATGTATATGAAGAATGGGAGTCTAAATGAAGCAAAAGCTTTGTTTGATAGTATGGATGAGAGAACTGTGGTAAGTTGGACTGTAATGATTAGCGGGTTTGCTAAATTTGGGTGTTTGGATGAAGCAAGGAGGCTTTTCAATGAGATGCAGGAGAAAAATATTGTACAATGGAATGCCTTGATTGGAGGTTATGTCCAAGCTAAGCATGGTAAAGAGGCATTGGTTTTGTTTCAGGAAATGCAAACGATGAACATAAAACCCGATGAAGTGACAATGGTTAGTTGTCTATCCGCTTGTGCACAACTTGGAGCACTTGATATTGGGATTTGGATTCACCACTACATCAAAAAACATAAGCTTTGTTCAACTGTTTCTCTGGGAACAGCACTTGTTGATATGTATGCCAAATGCGGCAACATTGAAAAAATGCTTCAGGTTTTTCACGCGATGCCCATCAGAAACTCATTGACTTGGACAGCTGCAATTGGCGCCTTAGCGCATCATGGAAATGGGCATGATGCTCTATCATATTTTTTAAAGATGGTTGACAGTGGTCTGAGACCAGATGATGTCACATTTCTTGGGGTCTTGTCAGCTTGTTGTCATGGAGGTTTGGTTGAAGAAGGGAGAAAGTTTTTTACTCAAATGACCACAAAGTTCAACATTCTGCCTAAATCTAAACATTACGCTTGCATGGTGGACCTTTTGGGCAGGGCAGGGCTTCTGGAAGAAGCTTATGAGCTTGTCCGTGGAGTGCCAAATGAGGCTGATGCTTCGGTATGGGGAGCATTGTTTTTCGCTTGTCGAGTTCACAGGAACATTGAGATGGGGGAAAAGGCAGCTCTGAAACTTCTTGAATTGGATCCTGGTGATAGTGGAACTTATGTCTTACTTGCTAACATGTATGTTGAAGCAAATATGCAACATAAGGCACGAGATGTGAGGAAGATGATGGGTGAAAGAGGATTACAAAAAACACCTGGTTGCAGCTCTGTTGAAGTAAATGGAAATATTTTTGAGTTTTTTGTTACAGACAAGACACATCCTCAGTCCGATCAGATTTATGAATGTTTGATTCAGTTAACAGGACACATTGAAATAGCTGAATATCTGCCATATATCAGATACGACCTGTTATTTAATTCTGATGTTTACAGTGCAATGTAAGAAAATCTGATTCGTCAGTCACCAAACCTACGTAGACAACAGAAGGGCTTGGTCCTGCTAAAGATGTTCAAATGATTAGGAGGGCAGGAGTTGAGTTGCAACCTAAAGGCCACGGTAACGACTTAACCCGCTCCTCTGTTCTACTGAGGCACTGTGAATACAGACAGCTCAAGGATGGATCTAAATGTTCTTTTGTTTTAACTGGAGGCATCACTACTAACTGTGAATACAGTGCTCAAGCTTAACTAGCCTGTGCACGCACAAGTGGTGGAGCCACATTCAAGCAAGAAATGTTTTCAGAACGAACCTATTTGTATTTTCCCCATGCAATAGGATCAGGACAGTGAAAAGTACAACTAGATATCCTTCCAGTGACAGTTTTGAAATCAAGGCTGAATATGTAAAACAGAACACGTGGTACAAAGCTCCATAGTTAAAAGAAACTGTCGAATGTGGTGTTTCTTTATGTGCTTATTTACCACTAAACTATTTCTCTAATGTAACAAAACGAACAGGAAATATAAGATTCTATAATGAAAACAGAAAGGGATAATGCTTTGACCAAGAAGAAAAATAGGATGCTTGTTATTTGCTTCACCGCTTTGATGTATTGATCACCACTTCTGTGTAGCAAATTGGGCAAGCCTGACACATTAGTAAATGACTCAACAATCTGGTATATATGAAATGATGGATTGAGGGAAATAGTTTTGAAAGAGTTCAGTTGATTACTTTGTTGATACTTAGCCATCTGCTTCCACAACCAGCATGATAGACATGTTTGCAAGGAAGTGTGACCTGCTGATCCTTTCGTTTGTACTCCATCTGACAGATCACACACCTGGAAATAACAAGGTAAATCCATCGTGTTCAGTGTAAATGCTTTGATACAAAAAGTACGTCACCAAGATAATCATGATAAACTAATAACTTTTCTAGGGAAATTAGTACTATAATAGATGATAATGACAACGAAAAAAGAATTTCATCAACAACCTGTGGGGAGAAAAACAAATTGAATCACACACAGCCACATACATTTATTAAACTCCACAGTATGCACAAGATGACATCTCTCAAAGGAGCTCTAGAAAAAGGACATGATACCCACCCAAGGAAATAGTTAATATAGAATACTGTTGTAACAAACCTATACTTGAATTTTAAAAACATAAAGAATCTGCCAGTTTCTCAAATTAATGAAAGTTTATCAACTAAGTAACGATTTGTATGATCTGGTCACATGTAGAAAACAACCAACCAGCCTATTATTCTTGAAAAAAACATAACAATCAACACAGAATGAGAAGCAAATGAAGAAAACTATAATACGTTACGGCTAGAGGATAACTTAACATAAATTTTTCCATTACTTGCCCTTGTTATAGGAAGAGATTTTCAATGGTTTGTTCTACCTTTCCTTTCTTGATTTCTTTCTTGAGAAAAATCCACACTTAAACTTTGTGACTGGAAGCAAGGAGATTTGATTTTGGGAAAGGCCTCTGCTTTGAGTTCCAACAGCCTCCCCCAACTCAAGTAATTCCTGCAATTCAATCCACATTTTATCTAAGGGAATTACAACAGCAAGTTTTAATAAGTCTCCAATATAAATCTTCAAACACCAAAAAAAAACAAGTCTACAATATAAACCTCCAAATAATCCATAATAAAGCAAACTAAAACATTACTTATGATCAGTAAAACAAGGATAGTGGAAACAATCATTAAAAGAAAAGATCATTGTTGTCTTAGATGAATTTCTGCAGATAAAGAAGGTGAACACTGAAGAGTATGTTACGCATGTCAGTTAGTTACACCACTCATCACCTACACTATTTCTTGTATGATTTGTCAAGAAAATAAATCATTTCACTTAAATAGTACTCATGACTGTATTGTATACGAAAATGGTTCAATGACAAGAAAGATTGGATATGAAAACTTTCAGGAGTTGTGAGCATCAAAATACTCTTTAGCCTCAAGAGATATAGTAGAATAGAAGAATAAACAATCTCCTGCTTTTCATATTCCTTTTCTTCATTTTTCTCTTTTTACATGTATTTCATGCAAAGATTTTTTTTAAAATAAAAAAAATTAAGAAGTTGCAGATCAACTGATGCAGGAGGAAGTTTCATCATGCACTAGCTTGGATATTCAACAAGTATGGACAAAGATTTCAATATTACATGTGTAATTGGTGCTGGCCAGTCGGAAATAATTATGCAAATTCTATTAACTTCTGAATGAGGAACATGTCCATGAGGATTCACATAGCCGTCCCCAAAACTTGTTTGGGACTGAGGCATAGTTGTTGTTATTCTTAGCTTCTAAAATTTTCAATTGTATGTAAAGGACCCAAACATTTTTTAAAGTCTGAGACTCCATAGGTGGCCATAATTCATTGCTAGAGTACAACATATTTTGCTAGATAAATTCTTATCTTGGGTACTGATTTCCCTTTGTTCCTCTCTTTTTCAGATCGTAAGCATTATGAACAAAGGTTCTAACATGAAACCCTGCCCTCTTAGGTAAATAGAAAACAATGAAATGCCTTAAACATCAAAAAAATAACCTACATAAGTCCAAACTAACATATCAATCTTCGAAAACCAATGGATATTCGTTCTAATATACATAATATGATAGGTCAAAGCTTATTTTTCTTTGATTAGAGGACACCCTCAAACAAGGAGCACAATAACTACAAGTCCAAACTAGCATATCAAATCCAAGAAAATCAGTCAATGTCTATCCCTTTAAGTTGCACAATATTAGTTCATCTGATCTTATCCACTCAATTTATGCCTAAAGGCAACCTTCAAAACCTACTTTGCTGGTCATCAGCTGCATGGAGTAATTCATTATTTTAAGGACCTTCAAAGAAGTATAAAGCTAATAGAATCTAATTTTCCATCCATCTATATCTGCTTTGATCATCTAATCATAAGACATAATTTGAAAGAGGGAAATAGTCCTAATCAAATCTAGAATCTGCAAGGTTATTGTAGCCCAATGTAAATGTTTTCACCTCTAGAACAGACAACATCACATCATTGACCTTAGACTATCAAAATCAATTCGTGCAGTATGATGCATAGGTTGGAAAAGTAATTCTCTGCCTTAATAACCACTAAAAGAATTTGGATATGAGATTCTTGGTGTCTCAAAGTGAATTGCGAGATAATGATACCATCTGAGGATGCACAAGGTAATGATAAGAAATTTACAAATCAAACCTCATAGGTCATGTTGTCAGGGTCGATATTATCTTGCCAAACAACCTGCATTAAATTACAACACAGATGAATGATATAAGTAATCAGTAATTCTAATTATAAGAGGACAATAAAAGCTTCTTCACTCTCTGTAAAAGAAACAAGTATGACCCACTCTTACTCAGCAGCCAGTAGCACTTCTGAAAACATTAGCAGGAACAGAAAATGTAAGACTCCTCTGGTTACTATTACATTTTTACCTTTGTCTTTTGGGAATGGTAAATATAGTATTACAATTTTTTTTAATTCATCAAAAGAGTAGTTTTTAAACTATTTAGCTGTTGTATTGTTTGTCTGCTTTAAATCATTACTATAGTTACAAACACAAACAGTTCTATTCTTGTCATAGTACGCAGATACTTTGAATAAGAAAAGTAGAGGTTATGGTGGTTATCAATCAGCCAGACTAAAGATCCTGACATGAAAGAGAAAAAAGACATAACATGGTATGAAACTTCATACCTCACTGTCACGAGTATTAATTTGACCCCTGGGACCTGAAAAAGAGCAAAGGGTCATGCTTATCCATAATTTAGTGTATCATAAAATGGGGGAGCTTTTTATGAATAGGTACAGCAATAGTAGCAGAAAATGGAGACAAATGTGACTGCAAATACTCAAAGCATAAGGTCCAACACAAACATATTCCATACACTTTTTGCTGCATTCGGATCGACATATGCCTTACAAAATAAAACTGTCACCGTTAACTTTCAGAAATTGGTATATGGAAAACAGAAAGAAATACATATAAAGAAGAAAAAGCCATTGAGTTTTTCAATATAATATTTTGCATTGAAGCAGCAACCAGTCGTGTTATGCAGTGTTTGTAGACTACAAAAAGAAAAGGGGAAGTGAAATGCAAGTGTAATAAAGCAACCTTAGCACCACTTTGACTTAGAAATGTAGGATGTACTAGTACTTTTATGCATTTTATCACTCTCCACACATTTATAACCTGTATTTACAGGCATCTCTTCAATTTAATAAAAGATCTGTCCAATCTAGAATCTTGGCATTGCGACCAGCTATTTCAGCATCCATACCAAATTGTTACCAAAAGAGATAGTCTTCAGAAATGCTGTAGCAGAGGTCTTTTTTACAGAAACAGCAGAAAAAAGTCTCAGTGCCTTCAGAGAATAATTTGAGTCAACTGCTGCAGACCACAGGACCAATTTCATATGATGAGCATGAATCATTGAAGCAGTTATCCGACAAGGACTTGTTTATTTTGTTGGATGGCCTTTTCCTAACCCGTCCAAATCAAATTTTATTGGTTGACTAATGCACTTTGAATGGGCACTCCGGACCACTCGTTCAAACAAGAGGTTTATAGCTCAATGGCTTTCACGACAGCAAGATAACCATTGGAAGGTGAGTGTTTTGATTTCACCTATAACCTTGAGATGCAAAAGAACAGTAGATCCCCGTCCTCAATGCTCAGAACTTTGGAGCGATTATAATCTAGAATTACGGTGTTAAGCGATTGAGGCTAGTATACAAATGGCAGTGAGATTATCTAATATCGTGCTTGCTAAATAATTGACAGATAATAGTAAATAAAATGTGAGCACAGGGAGACATCTTTACCGTAGGAATGAACTGAAAGGGTGCTAAGTAATGCAGGTAACTCATGGAAGATGATCAATACATTATTCCTGATGCATTTTCCTTGCAATATTTTATCATATCTAATATATGCACAAGGCAAAAGAAATAAAGAAAGGAACTGTTGAAGATGTTTCCATATAAACAGGCTTTCAAAATTCTAGCTTTGTTGATTTTCATTTTTAAAAATTGTACATATCAACTGATGTAGGAAGATACTGAAACGGAAACTTACATTCCACAGAATTAGTGAGTGAATTGGAGCCTGAAATTTCCTCTCTATGCACATTTGCAGCTACATTTACAGTGGTGGTTGAAGGGTTCTCTAAATGTCTATCATGCTCCTCGATTCCAGATACATGATCATTCACCACATATTCACGATCATAATCATAATACGAGAAACTACCTGCTTCAGAATAACCAAATTTGTATGGATTGGTGCTGATGGATGGATATAAACTCTCCTGCAAGAATCAGAGAGTCATACGCGGTGTTACTTAAGAACATGCGCTACTTTCCATGTTACTGACAATTTGATATAGAAGAAACCAAAGATGTATGAAGAAAATGTACATGCTGTAGTTAAGTGATCTCTAATGTCTTCATATGCTTAGCAGTTTGTAGCAGAATAGAGCAATTGAAAGCTAGTGTCCTTCAGATGCAGCATAGTTGCTAATTATGCAGTTGATACATGTTGTTTATGTGTACTAAGGCATGGTTCTAAGTTTTCTCTATGCACACTACTAGAGTAAATGTATGTGCATATAGAACAGCACATACTTGATAAACAAACTTCCACTTTCTCATGGACTTCTTTTCATATTCATGAGCACTGCTAGTAATATATGCTTATCCTATCATGATTTTTAAAATGTCCAGGTTGCAAAGTTAATTCTACAAGTGTAGAACTTATTGACTGTTCCAATTGCACCCTCATTGTACAAGTTATTTTGCACATCCTGCATAGCAGGGCAGAAGATGGAAATACGGATCAAAATGGAAGTAGTGGAAGGCACAACATGAATATTGAAAAAAAATGTTCAACTTCTGTGAAACTACTGAATACCTGAGCATAGGGAGGATCAGCAAATATATAATTAACATGGTCATACGTAACACCTCCAAAGAAATCCATAAAACTTCCAATTGAATTATAAGGCATAGCACCATTTGTATAATAAATTTCCGTTTGCTGATTCCAGTTCATGGTGAATTACTATTCTGCAGCAGACTGCAAATTTGCCGTGTCAATTCTTAAAGCTAAAGTAGCTATGACGACTAAAGTCAACAAAAATAATATTTACCACTAAGTCTTCTGGAGAGCACAGAGAAGAACAATCAACATATGAAACTCCGATTCCAAGATAATAAATGTGGATCCTCTTCAGTTTTAGCAATCCTATTAAAACAAACAATCAGTTTCTTTATCATCTATAAACCAAACCAAAAAGAAAAATTAGAAGACAAAAATACATATGTTATATCCTTGCTGATGCACAAAGATTAACAAAAGGGAAAAGCAAACAAAAAAAAAACAATTCACTATCAAGAAATTTTAACTAATTCTTTTGAACTGAAAATAGAACTAACTCAAGTAACTTCCCTTACATCTCTTCAAAAACAGAACTATATTTTCCACTCATTTCCAGCACTCCCTCAGAAACCAAAATTCGCAACAACAGTTGAGTTAAAAGTAACTCCCTCAGAAACCAAAATTTGCAACAACAATCGAGTTAAAAGTAACAACATATAGGCACTTTATACTTAAGAAAATCAGACATAAAACCAAGCTGCTCCACATAACTTCAAACAAATCAAGCAATAATAACTTGATATTTCAAAACATACACAGAATCAAAAGAAAAAAAAATATGCTTTTTCCTCTTATCTTCCAGCATTAACAGATTGCATCAATGTGGACGAAATTTAACACCAGATTTCACACATTTTACTTGAGAAACTCAGTGATAAAATCTAACCTTTCTCTAGCAAGAAATTTCAACTAAATCAAACAATAATTCCTGAACAAATGCACAAGAAATTTTATACTTTCAGGTTTATTCGTTTTCCTTTCAATTTTTATTTTAATAAAACGGATCGCAACAACAATTAGAAGGCAATTAACACCACATTTGCTTCTAAAAACCAAACTTCACCATCACCCATCATCAATTTGTTGATTTTTTTTCATGAAAACCGGAAGAATGCAGAAATTCCCTACTTGCTTAGAACAAAAGAGTACCCCCAACAGATCTCAACACAATTCAACAGAAATTACCACAATATAATAGCACAGTACACTTCTTTTAAAAAAAAAAAAGTAGCCAAACCAAATTTCAACCAAATCGAAATTCCTTTAATTTTTTCTTCAAATAATTTCAAGCATTTTCATCAAACGGATCGCAACAACAATCAGGAAGCAATTAACGCCACATTTGCTTATAAAAACCAAAACTTCACCATAACCTATCATAAATTCCTTGATTTTGCCATAAAAACCGGAAGAATGCAGAACGTAGATTTCCGTCAGAAATCAAAAAA